GAAAGGGTGGGTGGTGGGGGGACCCCCCGGCACTCCTCCCATGGCACGCAGACCCCACCGGCAGTGGCAGCACCAGCACCAGCAGCAGGCAGGGGCACTCGGAGCTCCAGCCAGCACTGCACATAACAGTGAGGAGCAACGCAACTCGTGCACCCTTATAGGGAAGCTCCATGTGCTGGAGCCAGCTGCTTTTGCCACTGGGCTATATTTTGTCTGTGGGCCTGTGGGCTGTATTTTGCCTGCCCCTGCATTAGATTGTATTAAAACGATCTGTTACCTGTCCACGTTGTCTGATTAGTCAAAACGAAAGCTCTGCACTGGGAGTAACTCTCGCAGATCTCAATGGCTTCAGTGATGTCAAACACAGAGAGGAGGCAGCCCTTGTGATGATAAGATGGCCAGCACCTGTAGTTCTCATCAGGAATAGTAGCATCAGGCACCCGTTTGTACTCTGCAATTATCCAGAGCAAAATGATCATTTGGAAAGCTATGGTAAAGCGGTGCAATTTTGATAGACAGGTTGCATCAGGCCAGTTTGCAGGTATATGAAAGGACACCCTTTAGAAGGGTCGTTCAGTAGGCTGCATCAGCCTCATTTTGTTCCTGGCTTGCTAAAATTGTTGCTTGCCCCTCAGGCTGCTTTTATTTTTCATTTTGAGAAACAAGCCCAGAAGTAAACAGTCTGTGCACAGAATGCTTCTGCCCTCCCTACTGTTGAGGCAAGGCTTTGATTTGATTTGGAGTTTTACATGAAGAATGTCCCATTGAATAAACAGCATCCACTTGAATGAAATGACTCACTGTCTTCGTTCTTAACACTGAACAGGATTGTCAGGGTGAGACCTGATGAGGCGTTCCCGGCCCTCCCTCTCAGTTAGAAGAGCATGCTATTTTGCTCCAGCTTCTTTAGAATATGAAGAAAAGACAGGCTTTTAATTAAGCAAACTTTTTCTTCTTGCTCAGATTAGCACAAAAGGGTTGTTGCTTGATGGGCCTCTGAGAGAAAAAAAAAAAAGGATATGAAGCATGTCAGCTTGGTTCTTGCCCAGCTCCTCTGCATTGCCCTGTGGATTACTGCACAGCTCCCTTGGCTGCCATTCAGTCTCACTTGCCTTTATGAGCTCTCTCTTGTTCTCTGTTCATAGTTCCTCTCAGTTCCCGAGCTGTTTTTGGGCTTCTCTAATGAATGCATCAGCAAAATTAAACTAATCATTTACAAATATTTCTACTTAGCTCCCAGACACACAAATTGACAGTCAAGAAAACCACAAAATACAAAACACTATAGCAATTCTAACCGCATGCATTAAAGAGACTGTAGCTACATGCTTCAAAACCTGTTCTTTAGTTGGTTCAGTTTTGTCTGACCCTGCAAGGTTTCAACTTGCTAGTGTTTCAGACACTGAGTTATCAGGATGCTTTTTATTTAATAGGTATGTCCTCTTTCATGTTTAGTATATACATAACAACCAATGGTTTGATTCATAAGAGAGTTATCTATTGTCTATCATACATTTTTCACCATTTACCTGAAAACTTATTTTTCTAATTTGCTTCATAATAACTGTCATAACACAAATCCGCAAACAAAAAGTGAAGAAAGAATACAATCATTTTGTCACTGGCAGAACTCTCATTCATTTTCAGGACCAACTTTTGCTATGGCAAATACAAAGAATCAAATTCATATCACAAATGCCCATTTTATTGCCAAGAGATGACATTGCTTAAAAGGCTGCTACAGACCTGTCGGACAAATAACGTGCAGTCCATTTCCATACCTCCTTCGTGACTATATTGTCATATCCTATATTAGAGATAGAATTATTTGGAAAGAACTAAAGAGCTACTGGATGGAGAGTGCCGAGGGTGGGCAAGCCTAAGGTCAGTGGGAGTATATATGTGTGAGCAAGATGAACAAGGGGGTCAATTCACCGTTGCTGTTTAGCTCATGCACACAGACATTTATACCCATGGAAATAAAAACCACAGTAGATATAGAAAGGGTTCATTCTGACTCAGCATTTTATTTTATTTATAATCCCCCTTGTACTGACCTGATTATGGAAGGAGGAAGGCAAAGATGAAATCAGACCCAATACTGCATGGAAAATGAAAACTGTGCACTGAAGATGCTTGTTACTAATGGAAGAAAGAGAGCATCTACCATAGATGTTCTGAAGTGTGAGCATGGATTGAGCCCTGAGCCCTTGAAGGAAATGTTTGCCAAGCTCCTGACTATGACATCTAAGGTCAGGCCTTAGCAGGCCTTGGCATTAAGTCAATTTTCAGTAAGTCAGAGTACTTAGCAGGGCAGCCTTAACATCACATGATGTATTTTCACTATGCAATACAAAAATTTCTCTCAGAGTAACCTACCTATCAAGCTGCATTTTACTGTTAAAACTCTCCTGCAGACAAATGTGTTTTTAAAAGTATTTCCACTACATAATACATGGTTTCATCTTTAACATCTTTTCCTCCATTGCAATCCTCAGCTGGCATACATTCACTTCAAACGAATAATAGTGATTTATATGAGATGAGGATCTATCCCTTTATGAAAGGTAAATGTTTCAATATTTACAGATTTTCAATGAGACTCAGGGCAGGATTCAAAGATGCATATGGGACTTAGGGAGAGTTTAAGTACCTATGTACCAGAGTGATTCAAAAAGGCCCTGTACCAGCGGCCTCATTATGGAATTAATTAAGTGCCTACATTTTTTGGCTATATGGTTCCCGAGGCATCTGCATTAGGGATCCTGAGCAACACAGGTAGAATGCTTAAACCACAATAGTGCCCAACTCCTGCATAAGCTCCATTAGAAGCCAAATAGTTGGTGGGAGGCACCTAAACTCTACCTAACTCCCTGGAGGTCCCTGTCTAACACCAATACATAAACAGCCGTGGAAGAAACTAAGAGGGAGTCTCCCTGTACTGTCCAGTGGAGTTTGCTTCTAGGGATATTTTACTTCATTATGGAAGTTTCCAAAATGCCTAGTGGGTAGAGTACATCCTCATTTATGCATTTTACAGACACTAGTTAACAATCAAAAATAAGTCCGACAGCAGAGCCTAAAGCCCAGGACTCCCCACTCTCAGGAAAGACCATATCCACTAGGCTACAGAGAGAGGCTCCCTGTTAATTCCTCGCCTTCTGATCCCATGAATCTTGTTCTTTTGGGGGTCACTTCAACAGGAGGAATGGAGAGTACCCTTACCTAGCTATCCTGATTTAGCCTGGAAGTTGGGGCACATCTCCTGGGATGTATCCAGCTCTCCCACTTCTCTGCAAATGTTCTAACCACTAAGCTACTGACTAAGGTGTAGGTGGCACTGCCTCTTCCTTGGCTATCTCAAAGGAGAGACGAGATAATGTGATTTGCAAAGGAACAGAAGTGTCTAATGCTTAACATAAATTGGGCATCTAGACTCCCAAGAGGGGTGGGATTTCTGACACAGCCTGGTGCTTTAGTGAGTCCTACAGGCTACCTTTTGGTACTTCTAGATTTCCTAAATTGCCCTTAGATGATGCCTACTGCTTCCCATTCTCACTGTAGAGTACCCAGGTGGCTTAACATACATCACTCACGCGCATCTCCAAAATCTTTCCACTGACTGTATGGGACCCTAGGCACTTACAACATATTTAATTGCTCTCTTGGTGTAGGCACTTAAAAAATAGGTAGGCAATGTCTAAATTGAAGTGTTTACTGAGACACTTTGAAAGGCTACTAAAGCCTTTTTTTAAACAGGATTTATCCCTAATCAACAAAAAAAAGAGGAGAAGTTGCTATCATCAGAGTATGGCCAAGCTTGCTGGCATACCAAAGCTCACCTATCCTCTGTCTGAGAAAAGATTTGGGTTGCAAAAGCACAAGTGAAATAGGCTTTCCTCTCATAACAGCTCTCTTTACAAATTTAAACAGTATAACATAATGTGTTTCATAAACTATAATGCAAGCTACACAGAAAAGGGCTAATACCATTCCACGTCTGGGAAACTCCTAAGCATTTTGGGCACCCTGCTGGTGGCAACAGAGATAGAGCCACAGAAGACCAGAAGAAAGTGTGGTGGCACATGGCCTGCAAGCAGATGGTACTAGAAGATGCTCCAAATTGACAGACTGAAGAATACGTACAGATTTGGGGTTTGGTCTCTCTTTTTATCCTGCCTAGTGAGGATATAAGGGAAGAAACCTTAATGGAAACTCAGTGAGGGTTCTCTGCAGTTCCCTTTCCACTCTCCGGCTTTTCCTTTGAAATGAAAAGAAATTAACTGTGCCAACATAGCGAGCCTGTCACACTTCACCTGCACAACCTGAAGAGACTGGCACTTTCTTTCTTAAAAATTATTACAAGTTTTGGCCATTGCAGTGCCCAGTCCCACAGCTGGACTTCACATGAAACTCAGATCTTTACAGGTCTTCTCCTGCTCCCACTGAAGTCATCGGCAATGGGAACATGATTAGACCTCCCAGTGTAACGGCAAAGCCAACTGGCATTTCCTCTTAAAGCTAGGACCATATGGCAATACAGGAAGGAATAGCCACATCAGACACTCCCTGGCTTCCTTTTCCATATACCACTTTTCTCCATACTGCCAGCATAATAAATGTGACTACATTTTTCCTGTAATCGTGATTTTTTTTTTTTTTAATCCTGTTATTTTAAAAAAAAAAAAAAAGATGTG